TGAGTAAAAGTACAAGTACCCAGGTCTGGTACTTTAGTAAAAGTAGAAGTACTCAGGTCTTGTAATTGAGTAAAAGTAGAATTATTCAGATCTTGTACTTGAGTACAAGTAAAGATAGCATCAGGATGCAGGGAGTTAACAACGGCAATATTCCTGTGGTTCGTTTCCCTGTGCATTTGCAGAGCATGGTGTGCACGTGCACCTGATTGCCCTCCCCTCCCCCACTCTTACTAAGCCGTGCTGTGAGAAACAGGACAGAGCAGTGATGCAGTGACGAGTCCTAAAACCCGGAAATAAGATGCTGGTTCCCTCGCAACGTGATTTCTCCTCCATATGATTTTGGATATGTATGCAGTGTATTCATCTTGTACTTTAGTAAAAGTATAAGTACTCAGATCTTGTACTTGAGTATAAGTACTCAGATCTTGTAGTAAATATAGAAGTACTCAGATCTTGTACTTGAGTAAAAGTACTCAGATATTGGACTTGAGTATAAGTACTCAGATCTTGTACTTGAGTAAAAGTATAAGTACTCAGATATTGTAGTAAAGTAAAAGTAGAAGTACTCAGGTCTGGTACTTTAGTAAAAGTAGAAGTACTCAAATATTGTACTTGATTAAAAGTAGAAGTACTCAGATCTTGTACTTGAGTAAAATAGAAGTACTCAGATCTTGTACTTGAGTAAATGTAGAAGTACTCAGATCTTGTACTTGAGTAAAAGTAGAAGTACTCAGATCTTGTAGTAAACGTAGAAGTACTCAGATCTTGTACTTGAGTAAAAGTACTCAGGTCTTGTAATTGAGTAAAAGTAGAAGTACAGATCTTGTACTTGAGTAAAAGTACAATTATTCAGATCTTGTACTTGAATAAAAGTATAAGTACCCAGGTCTGGTACTTTAGTAAAAGTAGAAGTACTCAGGTCTTGTAATTGAGTAAAAGTAGAATTATTCAGATCTTGTACTTGAGTACAAGTAAAGATAGCATCAGGATGCAGGGAGTTAACAACGGCAATATTCCTGTGGTTCGTTTCCCTGTGCATTTGCAGAGCATGTTGTGCACGTGCACCTGATTGCCCTCCCCTCCCCCACTCTTACTAAGCCGTGCTGTGAGAAACAGGACAGAGCAGTGATGCAGTGACGCGTCCTAAAACCCGGAAATAAGATGCTGGTTCCCTCGCAACGTGATTTCTCCTCCATATGATTTTGGATATGTATGCAGTGTATTCATCTTGTACTTTAGTAAAAGTATAAGTACTCAGATCTTGTACTTTAGTATAAGTACTCAGATCTTGTAGTAAATATAGAAGTACTCAGATCTTGTACTTGAGTAAAAGTACTCAGATATTGGACTTGAGTAAAAGTACTCAGATCTTGTACTTGAGTAAAAGTATAAGTACTCAGATATTGTAGTAAAGTAAAAGTAGAAGTACTCAGGTCTGGTACTTTAGTAAAAGTAGAAGTACTCAGATCTTGTACTTGATTAAAAGTAGAAGTACTCAGATCTTGTACTTGAGTAAAATAGAAGTACTCAGATCTGGTACTTGAGTAGAAGTACTCAGATCTTGTACTTGAGTAAATGTAGAAGTACTCAGATCTTGAAGTAAAAGTAGAAGTACTCTATCTGGTACTTGAGTAAAAGTACTCAGATATTGTACTGGAGTAAAAGTAGAAGTACTCAGATCTTGTACTTGAGTAAAAGTATAAGTACCCAGGTCTGGTACTTTAGTAAAAGTAGAAGTACTCAGGTCTTGTAATTGAGTAAAAGTAGAAGTACTCAGATCTTGTACTTGAGTAAAAGTAGAATTATTCAGATCTTGTACTTGAGTAAAAGTACAAGTACCCAGGTCTGGTACTTTAGTAAAAGTAGAAGTACTCAGGTCTTGTAATTGAGTAAAAGTAGAATTATTCAGATCTTGTACTTGAGTACAAGTAAAGATAGCATCAGGATGCAGGGAGTTAACAACGGCAATATTCCTGTGGTTCGTTTCCCTGTGCATTTGCAGAGCATGGTGTGCACGTGCACCTGATTGCCCTCCCCTCCCCCACTCTTACTAAGCCGTGCTGTGAGAAACAGGACAGAGCAGTGATGCAGTGACGCGTCCTAAAACCCGGAAATAAGATGCTGGTTCCCTCGCAACGTGATTTCTCCTCCATATGATTTTGGATATGTATGCAGTGTATTCATCTTGTACTTTAGTAAAAGTATAAGTACTCAGATCTTGTACTTGAGTATAAGTACTCAGATCTTGTAGTAAATATAGAAGTACTCAGATCTTGTACTTGAGTAAAAGTACTCAGATATTGGACTTGAGTATAAGTACTCAGATCTTGTACTTGAGTAAAAGTATAAGTACTCAGATATTGTAGTAAAGTAGAAGTACTCAGGTCTGGTACTTTAGTAAAAGTAGAAGTACTCAAATCTTGTACTTGATTAAAAGTAGAAGTACTCAGATCTTGTACTTGAGTAAAATAGAAGTACTCAGATCTGGTACTTGAGTAGAAGTACTCAGATCTTGTACTTGAGTAAAAGTAGAAGTACTCAGATCTTGTAGTAAACGTAGAAGTACTCAGATCTTGTACTTGAGTAAAAGTACTCAGGTCTTGTAATTGAGTAAAAGTAGAAGTACTCAGATCTTGTACTTGAGTAAAAGTACAATTATTCAGATCTTGTACTTGAATAAAAGTATAAGTACCCAGGTCTGGTACTTTAGTAAAAGTAGAAGTACTCAGGTCTTGTAATTGAGTAAAAGTAGAATTATTCAGATCTTGTACTTGAGTACAAGTAAAGATAGCATCAGGATGCAGGGAGTTAACAACGGCAATATTCCTGTGGTTCGTTTCCCTGTGCATTTGCAGAGCATGTTGTGCACGTGCACCTGATTGCCCTCCCCTCCCCCACTCTTACTAAGCCGTGCTGTGAGAAACAGGACAGAGCAGTGATGCAGTGACGCGTCCTAAAACCCGGAAATAAGATGCTGGTTCCCTCGCAACGTGATTTCTCCTCCATATTATTTTGGATATGTATGCAGTGTATTCATCTTGTACTTTAGTAAAAGTAAAAGTACTCAGATATTGGACTTGAGTATAAGTACTCAGATATTGTACTTGAGTAAAAGTATAAGTACTCAGATCTTGTAGTAAAGTAAAAGTAGAATTACTCAGGTCTGGTACTTTAGTAAAAGTAGAAGTACTCAGATCTTGTACTTGAGTAAAATAGAAGTACTCAGATCTGGTACTTGAGTAAAAGTACTCAGATATGTACTTGAGTAAATATAGAAGTACTCAGATCTTGTAGTAAAAGTAGAAGTACTCTATCTGGTACTTGAGTAAAAGTAAAAGTACTCAGATATTGTACTGGAGTAAAAGTAGAAGTACTCAGATATTGTACTTGAGTAAATGTAGAAGTACTCAGATATTGTAGTAAAAGTAGAAGTACTCTATCTGCTACTTGAGTAAAAGTACTCAGATATTGTACTGGAGTAAAAGTAGAAGTACTCAGATCGTGTACTTGAGTAAAAGTATAAGTACCCAGGTCTGGTACTTTAGTAAAAGTAGAAGTACTCAGGTCTTGTAATTGAGTAAAAGTAGAAGTACTCAGATCTTGTACTTGAGTAAAAGTAGAATTATTCAGATCTTGTACTTGAGTAAAAGTATAAGTACCCAGGTCTGGTACTTTAGTAAAAGTAGAAGTACTCAGGTCTTGTAATTGAGTAAAAGTAGAAGTACTCAGATCTTGTACTTGAGTAAAAGTAGAATTATTCAGATATTATACTTGAGTACAAGTAAAGATAGCATCAGGATGCAGGGAGTTAACAACGGCAATATTCCTGTGGTTCGTTTCCCCGTGCATTTGCAGAGCATGGTGTGCACGTGCACCTGATTGCCCTCCCCTCCCCCACTCTTACTTGTAGTAAATATAGAAGTACTCAGATATTGGACTTGAGTATAAGTACTCAGATCTTGTACTTGAGTAAAAGTAGAAGTACTCAGATATTGTAGTACATATAGAAGTACTCAGATCTTGTACTTGAGTAAAAGTATAAGTACTCAGATCTTGTAGTAAAGTAAAAGTAGAAGTACTCAGATCTTGTAGTAAAGTAAAAGTAGAAGTACTCAGATCTTGTACTTGATTAAAAGTAGAAGTACTCAGATCTTGTACTTGAGTAAAATAGAAGTACTCAGATCTGGTACTTGAGTAAAAGTACTCAGATATGTACTTGAGTAAATGTAGATGTACTCAGATCTTGTAGTAAAAGTAGAAGTACTCATATCTTGTACTTGAGTAAATGTAGAAGTACTCAGATCTTGTAGTAAAAGTAGAAGTACTCTATCTGGTACTTGAGTAAAAGTACTCAGATATTGTACTGGAGTAAAAGTAGAAGTACTCAGATCTTGTACTTGAGTAAAAGTATAAGTACCCAGGTCTGGTACTTTAGTAAAAGTAGAAGTACTCAGATAGTGTACTTGAGTCAATGTAGAAGTACTCAGATATTGTACTTGAGTAAAAGTAGATCTGTAGTAAAAGTAGAAGTACTCAGATCTTGTACTTGAGTAAATGTAGAAGTACTGAGATATTGTAGTAAAAGTAGAAGTACTCTATCTGGTACTTGAGTAAAAGTACTCAGATATTGTACTGGAGTAAAAGTAGAAGTACTCAGATCTTGTACTTGAGTAAAAGTAGAATTATTCAGATCTTGTGCTTGAGTACAAGTAAAGATAGCATCAGGATGCAGGGAGTTAACAACGGCAATATTCCTGTGGTTCGTTTCCCCGTGCATTTGCAGAGCATGGTGCACGTGCACCTGATTGCCCTCCCCTCCCCCACTCTTACTAAGCTGTGCTGTGAGTTCAGAAACAGGACAGAGCAGTGATGCAGTGACGCATCCTAAAACCCGGAAGTAAGCAACGTGATTTCTCCTCCATAGGATTTTGGATATTTATGCACTGTATTCATGTGCAATGCCTAAATTAGTGAAGTTTACACAGGCACGTGGGGGGGGGGGGGCAGCTCGGGGGATGAGAGGAGTGCATGCAGACACGTGATGTAAAGTCTTGCTTTTACGTAAATTGAAGAACTGAAGTAAAGATCGTCTTGTTTTTTAAACGTATGCACGCCTGGAAATCCCTCTTGTGTCCACGTGTGCAACAAATATTGGAGGCACTGCTGAGGTATTAATGTTTCGCCGTGTCTGTGTGTGACACCAACTCGGACGGAGTTTTCCCCTGACGGGAGCGAGCAGGGCTGGAGCACCGGACGCGCACAGCAGGTTGCAACTGGATCAGCTCAAAGAGGTGTGTGATGAAGCTAAAGTCTCAAGTGGAAATGTCATTACAAGGCGAGCTTTAACAAGACTAATAACAGAATCCGTGGATAATGTAATAAATGATGAAGAAGAGGATATTTCAATGTATCATCTAAGGAAATTGCTAAAACTCATTTAGCAAATAATGAAAAATACTGGCAACAGTGATGATATGGATACAACAGAGAGCAAAGCACAGAACAGCCAGCAAACAATTGAAGAGTTGAGTTTGGCTGAAAAATATTCACAGCTTCAGCTAAACAGTCAAGCGCTACATGATGAGGTTAGAAGACTGAGAGAGTGAACAGCACACCATTAAGTCAGGCTTTTAGTGCACATGGCTTTCATGTGGCACTTCTCTTTGTAAAAGTGGTGTAAATAATACATAATATTATACCTTCTTAGCCAGATAACGTAAGCTAGCTATTAACTTTCTTATTCAATTAAGTTGGGATAACATTAGCTTCAATAAGTTATGTGACAATGGTCATCATTAAATCAGAATGACTGAACTGACTGAGAACCTGCTAACATTGAAATATCCTGAACAGGATCAGGGTGTAATTAATAATTAAGGCTATTCTTCTGTCTAACAGGTGAGATGGCTGACAATTAAGAAAACAGAGTTCAGTGAGGAAGAGACGGCTTGGTCTTCAACAGGATGCCAGGATCACATTTTTAACACACCGTTTAAAGGTAAGTGCTTACAATGTTGTATGTTTTAAATAAACACAAGCAAATAGTGCAAATTAAATCACAATATCTTAATTTATAATCCCAACATTGCTTCCCATGGGAATCTTAACTCCAAAAAGTTACTTTTTACTGGCAGTATTAACATTTAAAGCTAGGGAAAAGCAAAAAGCTATGCAATTATTTAAGATAAGATAATTTTGTAATATTTGGTAACATTTTCTAAATATTCATTCATCAATAAATAAGCCACTTACAAAAGTCAAATGTGAGTGTTTAAAACAAAAGAAACACCATATGCCTGTTACAGACTCTGGGCATCATATAAATGGGCCACATGGAAGTTGAGCATGTTCCCATATAATAATACAAAGTTATCCCAATAACTGTTTTAGTCAAACAGTTATTATTCAGAATAAATCATATATAATTAAATAAGCATCTCTGGGGCCAATTGGGTTATTATTTCTTATTTGTTGACGTCAGTTGTGATGATTTAAACATAACCCTTTGGATGTTTTAATCAAACTTTGTTGATAAACATTTGAATGTAATGTGTCTCAGACACAGGTGAGTGAATATGTAAACATAACATTCTAACCGGCAACATGACCGTAGTTTATTTATAATAATGTGTAGTCAAATAGATTTCACACTGTTGTCTCCAGCATTGTCTATTGCTGCCCTTAGTCTTTTGGATACTTTTGCAAGGAAAACTATGTGGGAGCAGAGCACATCTTTGTTTTAGTGACTGGAAATGCACTTTAGTGTACACTTGGTTTTAGTTAAAGTTAAAGCCTTTTATTGTCATTATACAAAAAATACAACGAGATTCAGAGTGCAACTCTGTCCCAGTGTGCAAAAGCCGCCGACGGTTTTCTCTGCCATCCTAATCACTCTCTGCAGGGCTTTCTTGTCCGCAGCTGAACATCCAGCATACCACACAGAGATGGAGAATGACAGCACGCTCTCGATGGTCGCCCGGTAGAAGGACACCAGCAGCTTCTTGTTCAGTCTGTTCCTCCGAAGCACCCTCATGAAGTGCAGTCGCTGCTGGGCCTTTTTAACTGCTGCAGTGGTGTGTGCAGCTGAGGCTCTCCGAAATTTGAACCCCGAGGAACTTAAAGGTGGGGACCCTCTCCACTCTCTCTCCATTGAGGTGAAGGGGGGCGGGTTCTGGACGGTGTTTTCTGAAGTTTATAATAATAATAATAATTTTCCTTTTTAAATGTTACTTTCAACACTGTATCCAATCCAAGTATGCAAATTATACTACTAACATTCAATCTCTATCTATTTAAGTCTTGACCCCTTGATGCATCTCTTCAAGACAAGTTACTGGGCAAACACCAAACTGCAAGATGAAAACTATTGTCATTGATTGGATGCCACATCTCTGCCTATTTGCAGAGACAACTCCCCAGAAGAAGAAATAACCTGCAGTTACGGGGATGCTGACTGGCCTTTGCGCAAACAGGTACATTTACACATATAACTCAACAATAACACGTGATTCAACACATTTTATTGTTTCCGTCCAAATAATTATAGTACGTGATTAATTTGTTTATTATTGGATAGCTATACCTTTTGAGATCTTCTCTTAGTGCATTCTTGTGTTATAGGTTCATTCTACGTATATTTCTACACTTCCTGAGCCTGTGCATGTTTGAAAGGGTAATTTGAAAGCAGTCCATTGCAACCCCTTTTTGATATTGAGGTAATTCAGTAATATGGAGCTGTCTCCACAATATGTTAATGTTGTCCTTTTCAAGAGAGGACCTTTTAAAAAAAAAACTATTTTCTGATACAGCTTTAATCCTGTTACTAATTGAGTGATTTGTGTAGATCTGACTGAAGAAACTAAATTGAACATATTTTTAGACTAGCTATAATGGGATTTGTTACTTAAACCTGTCACACACACTGGTTTCTAGTCTTGTCCTTATGGGGCCCTCCCGTTTGGTTATAACTTAAAGTAATTTTAAAACATTTATGCAACACCTTTTAGAATCTAAACTCTAGTTGTTGTAGGCGTAAGTTAACACTTTGTGAGCATAAGCATGGTTAAAACGGTTATCATTTACCTTAGCCTCGATGGGAGTAGTTACATAAACCTGTCACACATACTGGTTTCTAGTCTTGTCCTTATGGGGCCCTCCCGTTTGGTTATAACTTAAAGTCATTTAAAAACATTTGTGCAACAACTTTTGGAATCTAAACTCAAGTTGTTGTAGGCTTAAGTTAACACTTTGTGAGCATAAGCATGGTTACAACGGTTATCATTTACCTTAGCCTCGCTGGGAGTAGTTACAGAAACCTGTCACACACACTTGTTTCTAGTCTTGTCCTTATGAGGCCCTCCCGTTTGGTTATAACTTAAAATGAATTAAAAGATTTCTAAAGTACCTTTTTAACATCTAATAGTAGGTCATTGTATGTATAAGTCTACACTTCCTGAGCCTATGCATGTTTGAAAGGGTAATTTGAAAGCAGTCCATTGCAACCCCTTTTTGATATTGAAAAATGTATTGAGACCACAGGACTAAATAATGCCATGCCTTTGTTTTGATCCAAATCCAGTTTCAGATAGTTTGTATCTTCTTAGTGCATTCTTGTTGTATCTCAGTTCCAGGTGACAAACGGGCATACTAATCCAGAGGGAGTTGAGGAGGAGAGGCTCCCCTTAGACTTGACTTTCCCCGAAACATCAACAAGTGACTGTGCTACGACCGAGGTATTTCAGTAATATGGAGCTGTCTCCACAATATGTTAATTTCAAGAGAGGACCCTTTTTTAAAAAACTCTTTTCTGATACAGCTTTAATCCTGTTACTAATTGAGTGATTTGTGTAGATCTGACTGAGGAAACTAAATTGAACATATTTTTAGACTAGCTATAATGGGATTTGTTACTTAAACCTGTCACACACACTGGTTTCTAGTCTTGTCCTTATGGGGCCCTCCCGTTTGGTTATAACTTAAAGTAATTTTAAAACATTTATGCAACACCTTTTAGAATCTAAACTCTAGTTGTTGTAGGCGTAAGTTAACACTTTGTGAGCATAAGCATGGTTAAAACAGTTATCATTTACCTTAGCCTCGATGGGAGTAGTTACATAAACCTGTCACACACACTGGTTTCTAGTCTTGTCCTTATGGGGCCCCTCCCGTTTGGTTATAACTTAAAGTCATTTAAAAACATTTGTGCAACAACTTTTGGAATCTAAACTCAAGTTGTTGTAGGCTTAAGTTAACACTTTGTGAGCATAAGCATGGTTACAACGGTTATCATTTACCTTAGCCTCGCTGGGAGTAGTTACAGAAACCTGTCACACACACTTGTTTCTAGTCTTGTCCTTATGAGGCCCTCCCGTTTGGTTATAACTTAAAATGAATTAAAAGATTTCTAAAGTACCTTTTTAACATCTAATAGTAGGTCATTGTATGTATAAGTCTACACTTCCTGAGCCTATGCATGTTTGAAAGGGTAATTTGAAAGCAGTCCATTGCAACCCCTTTTTGATATTGGAAAATGTATTGAGACCACAGGACTAAATAATGCCATGCCTTTGTTTTGATCCAAATCCAGTTTCAGATAGTTTGTATCTTCTTAGTGCATTCTTGTTGTATCTCAGTTCCAGGTGACAAACGGGCATACTAATCCAGAGGGAGTTGAGGAGGAGAGGCTCCCCTTAGACTTGACTTTCCCCGAAACATCAACAAGTGACTGTGCTACGACCGAGGTATTTCAGTAATATGGAGCTGTCTCCACAATATGTTAATTTCAAGAGAGGACCCTTTTTAAAAAAAACTCTTTTCTGATACAGCTTTAATCCTGTTACTAATTGAGTGATTTGTGTAGATCTGACTGAGGAAACTAAATTGAACATATTTTTAGACTAGCTATAATGGGATTTGTTACTTAAACCTGTCACACACACTGGTTTCTAGTCTTGTCCTTATGGGGCCCTCCCGTTTGGTTATAACTTAAAGTAATTTTAAAACATTTATGCAACACCTTTTAGAATCTAAACTCTAGTTGTTGTAGGCGTAAGTTAACACTTTGTGAGCATAAGCATGGTTAAAACAGTTATCATTTACCTTAGCCTCGATGGGAGTAGTTACATAAACCTGTCACACACACTGGTTTCTAGTCTTGTCCTTATGGGGCCCTCCCGTTTGGTTATAACTTAAAGTCATTTAAAAACATTTGTGCAACAACTTTTGGAATCTAAACTCAAGTTGTTGTAGGCTTAAGTTAACACTTTGTGAGCATAAGCATGGTTAAAACAGTTATCATTTACCTTAGCCTCGATGGGAGTAGTTACAAAAACCTGTCACACACACTGGTTTCTAGTCTTGTCCTTATGGGGCCCTCCCGTTTGGTTATAACTTAAAGTCATTTAAAAACATTTGTGCAACACCTTTTGGAATCTAAACTCAAGTTGTTGTAGGCGTAAGTTAACACTTTGTGAGCATAAGCATGGTTAAAATGGTTATCATTTACCTTAGCCTCGCTGGGAGTAGTTACAGAAACCTGTCACACACACTTGTTTCTAGTCTTGTCCTTATGAGGCCCTCCCGTTTGGTTATAACTTAAAATGAATTAAAAGATTTCTAAAGTACCTTTTTAACATCTAATAGTAGGTCATTGTATGTATAAGTCTACACTTCCTGAGCCTATGCATGTTTGAAAGGGTAATTTGAAAGCAGTCCATTGCAACCCCTTTTTGATATTGTAAAATGTATTGAGACCACAGGACTAAATAATGCCATGCCTTTGTTTTGATCCAAATCCAGTTTCAGATAGTTTGTATCTTCTTAGTGCATTCTTGTTGTATCTCAGTTCCAGGTGACAAACGGGCATACTAATCCAGAGGGAGTTGAGGAGGAGAGGCTCCCCTTAGACTTGACTTTCCCCGAAACATCAACAAGTGACTGTGCTACGACCGAGGTATTTCAGTAATATGGAGCTGTCTCCACAATATGTTAATTTCAAGAGAGGACCCTTTTTTTAAAAACTCTTTTCTGATACAGCTTTAATCCTGTTACTAATTGAGTGATTTGTGTAGATCTGACTGAAGAAACTAAATTGAACATATTTTTAGACTAGCTATAATGGGATTTGTTACTTAAACCTGTCACACACACTGGTTTCTAGTCTTGTCCTTATGGGGCACTCCCGTCTGGTTATAACTTAAAGTAATTTTAAAACATTTGTGCAACACCTTTTAGAATCTAAACTCTAGTTGTTGTAGGCGTAAGTTAACACTTTGTGAGCATAAGCATGGTTAAACCGGCTATCATTTACCTTAGCCTCGATGGGAGTAGTTACAGAAACCTGTCACACACACACTTGTTTCTAGTCTTGTCCTTATGGGGCCCTCCCGTTTGGTTATAACATAAAATGAATTAAAAGATTTCTAAAGTACCTTTTTTAACATCTAATAGTAGGTCATTGTATGTATAATTCTACTCTTCCTGAGCCTATGCATGTTTGAAAGGGTAATTTGAAAGCAGTCCATTGCAACCCCTTTTTGATATTGTAAAATGTATTGAGACCACAGGACTAAATAATGCCATGCCTTTGTTTTGATCCAAATCCAGTTTTAGATAGTTTATCATGTAGCTAACTTCAGCAACTAATAATTATATACATGGTTACTATCTTCTTAGTGCATTATTGTTGTATCTCAGTTCCAGGTGACAAACGGGCAGACTAATCCAGAGGGAGTTGAGGAGGAGAGGCTCCCCTTAGACTTGACTTTCCCCGAAACATCAACAAGTGACTGTGCTACTACCGAGGTAATTCAGTAATATGGAGCTGTCTCCACAATATGTTAATGTTGTCCTTTTCAAGAGAGGACCTTTTTTTTAAAAACGCTTTTCTGATACAGCTTTAATCCTGTTACTAATTGAGTGATTTGTGTAGATCTGACTGAGGAAACTAAATTGAACATATTTTTAGACTATAATGGGATCTGTTACTTAAACCTGTCACACACACTTGTTTCTAGTCTTGTGCTTATGGGGCCCTCCCGTTTGGTTATAACTTAAAGTAATTTTAAAACATTTGTGCAACACCTTTTAGAATCTAAACTCTAGTTGTTGTAGGTGTAAGTTAACACTTTGTGAGCATAAGCATGGTTAAAACGGTTATCATTTACCTTAGCCTCGATGGGAGTAGTTACTTAAACCTGTCACACATACTGGTTTCTAGTCTTGTCCTTATGGGGCCCTCCCATTTGGTTATAACTTAAAGTCATTTAAAAACATGTGTGCAACACCTTTTAGAATCTAAACTCAAGTTGTTGTAGGCGTAAGTTAACACTTTGTGAGCATAAGCATGGTTAAAACGGTTATCATTTACATTAGCCTCGATGGGAGTAGTTACAGAAACCTGTCACACACACTTGTTTCTAGTCTTGTCCTTATGGGGCCCTCCCGTTTGGTTAGGACCTAAAATGAATAACATTATTTCTAAAGTACCTTTATCACATCTAATAGTAGGTCATTGTATGTATAATTCTACACTTCCTGAGCCTGTGCATGTTTGAAAGGGTAATTTGAAAGCAGTCCATTGCAACCCCTTTTTGATATTGTAAAATGTATTGAGACCACAGGACTAAATAATGCCATGCCTTTGTTTTGATCCAAATCCAGTTTCAGATAGTTTGTCATTTAGCTAACTTCAGCAACTAATGATTATATGCATGGTTACTATCTTCTTAGTGCATTATTTTTGTATCTCAGTTCCAGGTGACAAACGGGCAGACTAATCCAGGGAGGGAGTTGAGGACGAGACGCTCTCCTTGGAACTTTATGTCTACATAAGCATCAAACAGTGACTGTGCTACTACCGAGGTAATTCAGTAATATGGAGCCGTCTCCACAATATGTTTATTCTTTCCTTTTCACTATGTACCAAGATAAGACCTTTTACATTTTACAATGTTTACATGTATTATTATGTACATTTAAGTAAGTATTCTGTCTGTAATAAATTAAGTGTATTCATTTACTCTGCAACATAGACATTTTCAAGTATTTGCCTTGGATGTCACAAACTACACTGGAGCAGGACTGTAAATGAGCCACACGGACATCTTCTGGAATACCATTTTGCAACTTTGATAAATTCTATAAATTATGCTAGACGCTAGTTTGTATCTGCACAATGAATGGGAGCTTACAGATACATTGACCAATCACTTTGTTGATAATCAAACTCTTAGTATCAAACAAAATGGTGTGTCTGATTGTGATGGAATAAAGTGATCAGAAGGTGTCGCACCATTAACATTCTTTCAGATCTGCAATATGGGTACTTTTTAAATGTTTTATAAGATTCTTAACTGTATGATAATAACTGGCTCTTAAACTTCTTAAACCTATGACATGTTATTATTTGTCCACCTAGGGAAACAAACGTTTGTGAAACGCAGCTGGACGTCAGCAGAAAGTGCTGCTGTGGAACAACACTTGGGTTATGAAATGGACAATCAAGAACCAGGTTCCAGGGAAAGATGCATGTGAGGATTGTATCCCTGCCGAACCTCAAGCCCTAACAAATAGGGACTGGGGAGCCGTTAAGTATTACATGAACATTTCAATTTCTTCTCTCCGAATGTAAATGAAATAAAATTGAACCAAGGAAAAATACGTTCAATGTTGAAAGAAGGATTTCAAGTACCACTACCAAAACTAGGGGCTTTACCTAAACCAAACCAAATTTTCATTTTTGAATCGTCAACTAATATAAATTAAAGGGAAATCAATTGCATTCCGATTATGCTGCTAGAAAGAATCATCCATGTTTTCAAAGATTTCCTTTTTTGCTTTTAGGGTTTTCCCTCTCCTGTAGTGTAGAAAATATATTTTTGTGCATGTAAATGTTTTTCAAAGTCTAAAATCCCTCATTGAAGCATGGAAACATTTCACAGGAGAGAAACTTTATACAAATTTGAACCTCAAAATGACCAGAATATGTCATTGTTAAATGTAACTCAAAAGGAGGTAAAAGTCTACTGATTTGTTAGGCCTGTTTGTTTTGTTTTTTGGGTCATGGGATTGGTCAAGTTGTACATTTTGTTTTAATGACTGATTTTAAATGCCATTTTCTTAATCTCTTTCATTTTTTGTAAAGCACTTTGAATTGCCTTGTGTTGGAAAGTGCTATATAAATAAA